ATGGTGACATTTTCCTATATATTAAAATGCCTTATGTGCAACACAATTTCAGATCTACTGTAGTGTCTGCTTTTTACAGTCAACAAGTCTAGGGTTTTATTAGATGAAGCTGTCCCTTAAAAGCATCAGTGTCTTGTACAGGATTTCTTGTAGCCAGTATACAGTTACTGTTTTTAATGAACCAATGAATGACTGGTAAGCCACAGTAGTAAGCTAAGAACCTAGGTACTTAACTCATTTAAGTCAAAATTCAGAGAACTGATAGACTCATTCATTGCTGCGTTTCAAGGGATTATATCCAAAGCCTCCAGAGAGTGTGGGTGTTTTTGAAGAAGAGTTGAAAGTAGTCTAAGTTGTCTAATGAGTCAGTTAACGGTAGGATCAAATAGGACTCACTATTTCAGTCATGTTGCCTGAAGCAAGTCTCCAAAATAGACTTGTCACGCTAGCGAGGGGACCTAACGGGAATCTTCAGAAAGTTGCTTCTTGTCAAAGGAGAGAGTGAAAGTAGATTGTTCCTCACTGAAACCTAACAGCTGAGGACTTGTTTAGAGTGTGATTAAAGCATCAACCTTCGAATGGGGACCCCTGTTGACCTTCCTCCAGTAGTGTCCACATGCCAAAGTCAATAACCTGCTAGGACAGGAATTAGAAGTCAGTTCTTATAATGCCTTCCTCAGTGTCACTCCTAAGAAGCTAATGCGAGCTTCTGGTCTGTAAAGTTGGATTATCAGTGCTAAGCGACTTGGCCAAGACACTTTGAAAAGTAATTTAGGGCTTTAGAGACAAGTAGGGTTGAAACCACACTTTTATGCAATTGCCATAACAATATTTGCTTCCTGCCTTAGAAGTTCTTTCGGAGGCATCAATACAGTAATAGATGTGGTTTGCTTTAGTCAGAGAGCGAATGTTTTTTAAAGATTTTTTTTACTCCTTTACATCCCTTTCCCCTCACACTAAAGAAAAATTCTGTAGAGTTTTTTTTTTTTTAAGTATTCACTTATGGGAAATTTTTGCAAAATTACACTGACTGAAAGTGATTTTTGTTTGGCTTTCCTGTGAAGCCATCCAGAAAGGCCAAAAATTACTGGCATTGCTTTTGTGTAAAACTTTTCACATAGACTCCACTTGTAATTCAGCCAAGTATATATAACTCAGGTCATCAGTGACACACATACTCACTCAGCAGAACTGGTCACCGAGCAAAAGCTGTCATGAACCATGGTATGATAAGGTAATGTGGACACACCAAACCACACAGATTACAGCTAGGGAGACTTTGCATTCACAAGCTTGGGAACATGATTTTCAGGACTGATCCCTGCCCCCACCCACCCTCAAGTGGGAAAGCCAATTGCTTACTGATTACGACAGCGACATCACTTGGCAAACATTTTGGCCTGAACTCAATGTGTGACATCAGGCTCCTTTAGGCTTTTTCACATAAAATGAATTCTCCAAAGAAAACACAAAAATTGAGCCTTCATTTGAAATCCATTATTGTATCCTCTAAGGTCTCATTAATTACCTCAGTAATATCTTACTTAATTTCTTTTTTCTGTGTAGATATTAACTAATACTTAAATGCTTAAACCCTCACAGTGGTTTTTCTTTTCAGACTTTTTAGTCAAATGATCTTTTGTAGCTAGACTCACCCCAACCCCCCTTTAAGTGGGGCTTATATCTTTTGTTTTACTGTCGTATGAGAGTCCCCAAGTTTTGGAGTGACTTACATCACTTTGAGGAAATAAACAGCTAGTCTGGTTTTGTGAAGGGGTGACTCTGCCACCACAGTCCCATAAGGACTCAGTGATGGCATTTGCTTTCCATGCCGCTGGAAAACGAGACACCGATGTTTCACTTTCCTTTATGTCATCAAGTACTGTGTGCGCTTACCTGAAATCACTCGAGTTTCCCCCCGGAGTTCCTCCCACTATTTCGTTAGGTGGTGTTCACTCAGACATTTCGTGTTCATGGCCTTAAAGTAGGTAGCTGTCAGTCATGCCACAACAGGCCTGCAGCCTCCCTTGCAGGAGGCTGGAGCAAGTGTTGAGTGGAGTGTACCAGCAGTTCCAAGAGACAGGAATTGTATGTACAGACAAGGCAGAGGAAGAAGTTTCTGTGTGTGATGTGAGTTGAGCGTGAGTTTGATGTGCTCACACTCAAGCTGTTCCATCTGGAAGCTTTTCCTTGACAAATGGAAACAAGTGAATGCCCACTTATCTGTTTGACTGGCTCAGCAGGGAATGAGCAACAATCTAATCAGTCACTTGTTCCTATTTCTTTGCAATGCCTGTTCGGTTTGACTATCCTTTAAGACTTTGGATCCTGTAAGACAAACACCAATCCCCTGAAGTCTTCCTCTTGAGCTCATCTGTTCCTGTAGAAGTGCCACCCTTAGCAGACTGATTCCAGGGTGCACACTTGGCTCTTTTTCTCTGCCTCTAGCTGTGTGAACTAGGGTTCACTGTTCTTCTGTTCACAGTTCTGTGTTAGTCCTCTTTGCTTTCTGAAATTAAACAGCCGTATCCATCTGCCTCCCAGTGTTACCGTGTTACTCTGGATGGCCTCTACAGCCTTGCTCCAGAAGATGAGAACAACTATGAACATGAGAACCATACCCCACTAGCCCCTCCCATTCTCAGCCTGGATCTCTGTCATCTTGCTGTCTTATGTGGTCAGCCCCTGGAAAGGGACAGTCTGCACCTCTTTGTTCTCTGCCAGGCAACACTCTGACCATGGTCAGTGAGTGTTCACACTAAGGAGAGATGAAAGAAAGTGTCTGTTAGTAGGCTAATGCCAAGACAGTATGGGGGCCAAATGAGGCCACTAGTGCCAAACCACAGGGGTTCAAAATAATATTTAATATAACATTGTCTCATTGAATAAGAAATCGTATATTTGTAATGTTTGAGTTGAATCTTCTCTTGGTGCCAGATTTCTTGAGCTTTTAAAATCTGTTCTTGTAGATATCTCAGAGTTCATGAGGTTCAAATTTGCTAGGATGTCTCTCTCCTTTGCCCCCACCTCCCATGTATAAAACAAATGTCCTGGGGGCTGGGAGCAGTGTAGAATAGATATATGGGACAGGAATTCTCAAGTAAGTGTTGACCATGAAATTATCTGAACAGAAATGAGACCTCACCATTAGTGGGGACATTGGTGGAACTTTAGTTTCCTAGCTAAAATACTAACTGGAAATTTATTAGTCAGTGTGGTAGTGTAAGCCTTTAATCATAGCACTCAGGAGGCTGAGGCAGGAGGATTGTCTGAAGCTCAAAGTCAGTCTGCACAATACAGCAAGACAGTGTCTCAAAAGCAATACAACAAAACAAATATTTGAATAAAGCAGGTGGGATTGCTTGTGCTTAGAAAATGGGAGCTCACAGCTCATTTTTCTGCCCTATTCTGTGATGGCTAGTCTTTAGTGTTGACAGTGTGACTCTTGCAAGTACACACAGAGAGAAGTAAAGCAGGCACATGTAGAAAGTGACATCGCAGATATTCTTGTTTTCTCTTTGCAGGGTCAGTGGAGTGGTCTGGTTTTCCTCTTTTGTAGTGTGGATGTTCAAAGTGTTGATGCTGATTCAGAGCAGGTCAAAGTCGAACAAATAACCTGCCCCGGGTATGGTAATAAAAGATTTGCCAACCACACTGCTTTGCAAGAGTCATACTTCACAAATACTGATTCACCCCTGGAACAACTGTTCTCATCTCAGTGTTCAACGTATTGTACTGGATTCTGCCCATGTCTTAGTGAAACAGCCACTTAAGTTCCTGGAGTGTTTTCCGTGTCACAAAATCTAGGGCATTTCCTGTTTTCCTGCATGGGTTTGTTTGTTTGTTTGTTTTGCTACTTGACTGTCTACTCATTTTTGATTGTTTTGTTTAAGTTTTTCCTTAGTTTCATGAACTTTCTCTTCTTCTTCCATCCTTCTGCTGTTTTTGTTGTTGTTGAAGATGTTTTGTTTTATCTTTTCTTCTTTTCTCAGTATTTTTTTACTGACAACCCAGAAAACAGCTAAGCATGGATTCTAGGGTTCCCTTGTCAACATTTTGTCTCCTGATGGCACCTAAGCACACAGCTTCAACTAGTACCCATTGCAGATTCACACGTGAGCCCGTATTTTTGTAGACCTATATTTCTGACCGTAGGTGAAATTTATACATATTTTTCTACTAGATTTTGGAAGATACCAGGATATTTCATATTCAACATGTCTAAATCAGGATTGATCGCCACGTACTTAACCTTTCTCTTCAGTTGAAATCCCGCAACCAAAGCTGTGCCCCCATTTTCATATTTCACAGCTTGGTGCATAACCAGATTGCCAGCTAAATAATTCCCATGGCCAGTGCACATCTCTTCAGTCTCAGCCAGTCACGATGTGGACACCCCATCATAAATATTTCCTGTTTATACCCTCATTTCCCTTATCTGAGTAGCTGCCTCCAAAGCAGGCTTCCTGCCTCCAATCTCCAGCTCTTCTCGTCTTTCCTCCGTGTTGCATCCATTGTTCTTTGAGAAAGTGTACCTGATGACCTCACTTTCCTTCTTACAGTTACAGTTTATTGTTGGAGTGTTTATGGCTGGGTGCCTGTCTTTCCCTTTCTCATGCTGCACTCACACCCTCGTCTGTAACTGCGGTTGACTTCCCTCAGGACTCACTCATTTCTTGCCACACCACTTGTTCTTACTATACATATTTCTCCTCTTACATTGAAAATCATTTTGAGTGTTCGCTTATGAACAATTTCTCTTAGTGTCTGTGCAGCCTTCTCAGTGGCACTCCCTTAGAGGATTGGAACCCAGTATTTATATCTCCGTAATTATTATACTGCATTGACAATGCCTTTAGATATATGTTTAACTCACCCTGGCCATCAGATGTTTGAGAACAGAATATGTTTTGTATTAACCATTGTAGTACTTCCAGTCCACAGGAACATTTATAATACTTTGCAGAAGGGGTCATTATTTTGTCCAGTGTAGCTCTTACCTTTCACATTCCTGTTCCAATAAGTTTATGAATTCATCGCTCTTTTCCATATATTCTTTATGTTTTCTCTTTTCTTCCTCCATCTCCATTATGGTTTGCCTGTGGGATTTTTCTACCATTAAAAGTTGTTCCAAAATTCGTCTGTGCGATTCTTTATGTTTTTCTATGACTTTATCCAACTACAAAAAAAAAATACATTTATTGCCTGTTAATTACAAATTACTCACAATACTTCCATTAAATGCAAGGTATAACTGATAAAATGCTGATTCTTGCTTTGTTTTATCATGTAAGATTGAAAAAATTGTGACTCATTGTGAATTTAATGCCAAGTACCGTTTTATGATATTTTAAGCACATCTTAAAAGGCATACAATTAACTAAAAATCCAAGCCACAAACTAACCAAATCATTGGGGGGGTGGGGGGGTGGGGGGAGGCAGAACGAAGAAGTTGTTTGGAACCCGATGAACTCCCTCTGACATCTAAATTTTCACATTGGCTGTCAGGTTTCTTCTGTGGTTTATGATAACGTTTTGTCACCTTTTTAAAAGACTTGATTAGATCATTGATGGTTTTGAATAGACTTGGTCAGTCACTTTGTGGACACTGAAACTGTTGAGTTGCTTGCCTGCAGAGGCATTGCTAGCTAATACTTAGTTTCTGAGAAGGTGGTGTTCATTTTCTTTTTTCTAAAGAGGGTGTTAAGCCACTTACAGACATCTGAAAGTTTCATCTTAGTGCCATGGAGAAAGCAAGAGAGATTTGAGGTTTGAACTGTGTTTATACTTTCAGTAGGAAAATAAGATAAACGCATAGGACAATGGGGAACAATGTAAGTGTCTGTATCCGTAAATACTAAAGGGTAATCAGAGTGACTGCCCTCTCTTAACTGGCTTTGTATATAGAAGCTGAGAATGAAAATAGCAATACTTGTGGGCCATTTCAGGGGCCAGCAGAAGTAGTACCATCAAAGCATTATTTTTTTATTGTAGAGAAGATTTAAGTAAGCTGCTTTCAAAATTTAAGAGTCAAATAATGATAAGGTTAACCTATTAAGAGTCAGGTGATGTAGGAAAAACATTCAATTAAACATACCCTGGAATTAGAAAGTGAATAATTATAAATATTTAATAAGTTAGAAATAAGTATCTTTAAAAAGTTTGCTAAATGCAAAATAATAAAATAAAATTTAATCTATCTTTAGGTAGATGCTTGTAATTGCCCAGATGTGTGTTTTAACTTTAGTTAGCCAGCATACATTATGAAAATGTCCTTAGATTGCACAATACCATGTACAATGAATATATACTATGAAAATTTTCTTTTAAAAGAAAAATAATTATAAATCATCTAGTTTGTAATGAATTAAAAGAAAAACTTTATTCATTTAAAAGAGAGGATATAGATGCATGAAATCTTGCTTTCTAGTGTTTGTTCCATTTTGTGTAGTGATTATTGGTTTCATTATCACAGACTTGAGAGGAAGGCTTGAAAGAGTTCCTGCCATGCATTTGTTACATGGTCTTCTGATACTTAAGTGGTCTCTCCTCCAGTTCTTCCCATTCTTTCCTTATGACTGATAGTGCTATCTTTCACCAGTGGGAATACTCAGTCTCTATTCCAGTGGTTCTCAATCTGTGGGTTGCAACCCCTTTGGGAGTCAAACAGCAGATATTTACATTACAATTCATGACAGTAGCAAAATTGTAGTTATGAAGTAGCAACAAAAATAATTTTATGGTTGGGGGTTGCCACAACGTGAGGAACTGTATTAAAGGGTCACAGCATTCGGAAGGTTGAGAACCACTGCTTTAGCCAGAGTCAACTGTACCTTCTGTCATATCAACCCTATTTTCATTCCATTCTCCATTTCTCCCACCCAACTTTGAGCCACATTGGTTTCAAGCAGTTCTTAGAATACACAATGATACTAGATTGCTTTATTTTAATGTTGAGACCTAGAAGCCTTTCTCCTTCCCCCAAAACTTTTCCTGTTCCCTGTTCATTCCTTCACAGAGCTGTTCGCTTCTTCATATCAAAACCTAATTTCCTGAGATTTCCTTTTTCACATTCCATCACTCTAGAAGGATGAATTGAATTTCCTATATGTTATTCAATACAGTCCCCAGACAGCTTACATTTGTAACAGCACAATGGACAAGCTGTTGTATAACGACCTCATAGAGAAGATGCTCCTTGCAAGAGACATGTTGATTCTGGAGATGCTTTAGCTTGTATCTGAAAATTTTATTCCATGATTTAATTTAATGGTATGCCTCTTACAAGACATGCCATTGGTTTTTGCTTCAGTCTTTTCTCACTTATGATGGATCACACAATGGATCTGATACTTTCTGAGTGCATGGGAGTTTGGCAAAATCACTTTCTATTTTATACTTCAGATTCTTCATTTATAAAGTAAATGGATGGGCTTAATGATTTCTAAGAGCAAATCTGGCACCTTAATTTTTACAAGGGGACAAGTATTTAAGTGCCTCTTCTGTCATTTGAATGCCAAGTCCTTATGCTTTCACTAGGAAGAGAAATTAAACTCATGAATCATCTGAAACCAATGTAAGACACTGTTTAATTGCTGAGGATGATCAGAAACTACCCCTTTCTTTTTTCTATCCTTCCTCATAGATTGAAGCTGGGAAAGAAAACAACAATACTTGATAGCCATATCTGGGGACACTAGGGCAGAAAATTTAAGGAAGAGCTTCCTAATGTTTACTGTACAGTGATAACTTGCAGTTAATCAGTCTGACTCCTGCCCCTATACAATCAAATTCCTTCTGATTAGGTTGGAGTTTTGTTACCAAACTTTCTTTCCATGTTAGAAAAATAAAGCACAGAGAGGTTAGATAGATAGATAGATAGATAGATAGATAGATAGATAGACAGACAGACAGACAGACAGACAGACAGACAGACAGACAGACAGACTGACTTTTTTTTTTTTTTTTTTTTTGTGTGTTTTTCGAGACAGGGTTTCTCTGTGTAGCTTTGCGCCTTTCCTGGAACTCACTTGGTAGCCCAGGCTGGCCTCGAACTCACAGAGATCCGCCTGGCTCTGCCTCCCGAGTGCTGGGATTAAAGGCGTGCGCCACCACCGCCCGGCCAGACTGACTTTTTTAAAAGGAAATAATAATGGTCTTTGTTTTGATATATACCAGGTAACAGACCACCCTAATATGGATTTGGTCTTTTTTCTAATCAATGGATGTTTGATTCTCCTTATTCTTTTCAGTTGGCTCTTGGCACATTGTCTTTTCTTTGATTGTTTTTCTTTTGTTTACTCTGAATGTACCAGTTGTGGATAAAGCTAATCTAAACAGCAGGGAAAATGTTCGACCAATTTAGTAAATTGAAGGTAACCAAATATACTATTCATAAAAAAGTACACTTCTTCCTTGTCTGGACTGACACCTGACTTTTCTTGATAATGCTGGGATTCTACAAAAGACCATTTTCTCATTGTCTCTGCACCGCAGACCCTGGAACTAGGGCATGACTCTCATGGCTCTACCCTGCTACTGCCTGACTCTTGTGAAAGCTCTTCTTTGTTTCACCCTCACTCTGTCTTTATCTTGTTTGTTTTGAGATAGGATCTCATAATCATCTTGGTTCATCTCCCAAATACAAGGATTTTAAATCAGATCTACCCTACCCTGCTTCAACCTCACGCTGAATGGTGATGACTCTCCTGTTCTTATATTTTCAGCTTCAGTTCAATCCTGCAATGGTTTGCCTTTCTACACTCGGTGTTAGTAGCATCCTGGGTGATGTTTCCAATTTATCGAGTGCTGTGGATATTGCTCTATATGCTGTGAATGTGTTGCTCTGATTGGTTAATAAATAAAGTGCTGATTGGCCAGTAGCCAGGCAGGAAGTATAGGTGGGACAAAGAGAGAGGAGAATTCTGGGAACAGGAAGAGTGAGTCAGGAGTCACCAGCCAGACACAGAGGAAGCAAGATGTGAAGGCAGAACTGGGAAAAGGTACCAAACCACATGGCTAAACATAAATAAGAGTTATGAGTTAATTTAAGTGTAAAATCTTGCTAGCAAGAAGCCTGAGCCATTAAGTCAAACATTTTTAATTAGTATGAGCATCTGTGTGTTTATTTGGGTCTGAGTGGCTGCAGGCCCGGGCGGGACTGGAGAAAACTCCAGCTACAATCGAGACCTTCACCTGGCTCATTTTCTTATGCATGAACAATAAAACTTCCTGTAAGTTACCTGCTTGACACCCATCTGCTTTAATCGCAGATACATCTGTCCCTTGTTCTTGTCTGCTAGTTGACTAAGATGAGTCCAGTAAGCACAGATACTGTTTCTTCTTCTGTTGCTGCTCCGGCTTTCCTATATTTTACACTTGTAACTTTTTCACCTACTTTAAAATAAATTGATTCCTCTTTCTTTCTATCCAGCTCTTGTTCCACCTATGATATTCTCCTTCTTCTGCCTTTCATGTCACCTTTGTCCCTTCGGACCGTGACTGTGTATATAATCACATGCATACACATGCTCATATAAAGAAAGAAGAATAGGAAAATTTGCTTTACTGAGCATCAGCATTCCTCTCCTGCCTGAGCATCTCCTAAGGCCTGTAAGAACCCTGGCAGTGTGTCCACTTACTCAACACTTTTGTTAAGATTTCAAAAGTAAAATGTTTTAATTGTAATCAGGTAACACCCATTTTCCATCTCCCTCCAGCTGTTGTCAAATAAAGTCAAAAGATCACAGGTTGTATTTCAAACTGCTTTTGTCCTTTAATGCCCAATATTGGAAATTTAAGGGTTATAGAAAAGAAAAAAATAAAATGTATTAAATAAAAAGCCAGTCTGCGGGTATTTATCTCTTAGTTCCTTTCCTACTTTCATGTTTATTTATCTTCCTTTGGTGTAGATCATCCATGTATTTAAGAATGGTTTACATTTCATCTAGCATTTAATAGATTATTTAATGATGTAATTTCATAATATAGTCTTCATTATTGCTGGAGATGGAATTTGAGTATGTTCTATCCTACTAATCCCTACTCATCCTTTGGATCTTGGCTTCTTGGTTCTTTTTGCATTCTTCCTCCATTATACCATCTCATAGTACTCTGTGTTATGCTTGCATGTGAGATCTTATGTCATCTGGCCTCTCTTAGATATTCCACGTCCTGGAGGAAGGAACCATGACTATCTTTATACATTAGCTTTCCAGTAACTATTAATTAAGCAAATGAATAAAATGAAATGTAGAAGTTAAATTCTGTAAAGTACTTTAAAAATTGTCTTAAATCTGGTACTGAAGGATCTTTGAAGCTCTAAATGTTAAATTTTCTGTGGTGACTTTTAAAAGAACTAATAATGCATTAGGCTTTAACTCGAGCATCTTTGCAAATTGACTTCTAATGTAGAACTCCAAATTCAGAAGACACATGAAGTTTCAAAGCTTTTGGAAAGTGCTCTGGTCCTTCCCTCCCTCCTGTTCGCACATCTACCCCTAAACCAGTCCTAGCTTTTCTTCCAGCCCACATGTCTCTGCCATTCTCCATCAGCGTTTTTCCATGTCCTATAGCTACGAGAAGTTCTTCTTCTGAGTTAGAGAAGCCCCTTCTGTATTATCTGACACATGCTTGAGATTTTTTTTTTCTTTTTTAGATTTTTCAGAAGAAAAATAAAAGCAAAGGGAGAATGTTAACAGTACAAAATGAAGAGTCAGGGGGGAAAAGTAGATTTTCTTTCCCATGCAGATTTCTTACTGTGTGACTAGGGTATAGACATCTATAGTCCTAATAGGTCCATCCTCCTTGCTCCCTTTAGTTTCTGGGTGTCCCGTCTCCCCTCTTACTTATTTAGTAGAGGAGAAGAGTAGACAAATGAGCTTTATACGTAATTGTTTGGGCTTCAGGAAGCTGATAGCCAAAGACAAAGAAATCTAGAAGGAGGAAGTAGAAGAAATAAAAGAGAAAAATTGACAGAACATGGAGGTGGCAATGTGTGAGAGATTGTGTGTGTGTGTGTGTGTGTGTGTGTGTTTTGGGGTAGGTAGAGGGATATTTGTAGAAATGGTAATCAAAGAATGTTGCATTTAGAAAGCAAGAAGAGAGTAGGAATAGCATTCAGGGCCACCTTACAGAGACATTGCCATTTGATGAGTTTTGTTCCGAGTATTTTCCCCAACCATCAATTTGCATTGCACCTCATGTAGCTGGCATATTTGTCAGACCCAGCGGAAGCATTTTGGAAGCCAGGATAGTTTTAACGCTGTTGACTTGCATGCGGCCTCAGTTCCTTTTGTTTAAAATTTGGATTAAGGCATAAATCAACAGACTTTGGGTGGTCTCATCCTCATCACTTAGAGAAGTACATTCACATGACCAAACTGTTTCAGAATTTGGCAAGGCGGTAGTCTTCTCTCATGAGATTCCCAAGACAAGAATAGCAAGAACATTAGAGGTCAATCCTGGACTAGATTGCTAGAGCCATGGCGGGGGACGGGGGTGGGTACGGGGGAGGGCAGGGCGCTTTGTCTAAAACTTGATTTCATTCTCTCAGCCTTAACTCAGATTCTCAGTTGTTTCCTTTTATAAAAATGAAAATTATGAAAGTTTCCACTTAGGTCTCTGAGGGAAATAGAAGAGAAGAAAGGATGCCAGGGTTTTAGAAATTTCAGCACAGAAAAAGGAGCAAGAAGTACTTCATCTCTGGGCGGTGGTGGCCATGTTTAGGCTGCTCACCTTTGCCACTGCAGGATGCTGTGGGTAGTAGAAAGGTCTTCGCTGTCAGTAGATGTTTGAAGAACAGAGGGTATGCCATCATCGAAAACTCGGTTTCTTGGACAGTTTAGATTGTTTCTTTTTAATGATCAAACTTTCTATGACATAATACCTCAGTGTTTTAACCTTGATGATTGAACTCGCTCTGCTTTTTATTATAGTCTGGATAGACTTCAAGCCCCAAAAGAAATACATATGCTTGCAGGATTCATGCGTATGTGTGCTCTTCCACTTTACAGTTCAGTCCAATAGTAAGAAACAAGGAAGAAACCAAGTGGAAGCATCTTGGCAATCATTCATCTTTCTCCCCCACAGAACTGTTTGGGTAGGCTAGAAGAGCGTGAGGAAATGCAATCCTGAACTGACAGGGAGTGCATATCACAACCACTGCCTAGGCCCAGTCTCCTGGCTAGCTGCTGTGCTTGTGCCTTCTACGTGTCCACGCCCCTGTGGTACCTACCTCGTTCATTGGTTTCTCATAGATGTCCTCCTGCCAGGGGGCAGACGTTGCTTGGAAGGCATCTCTCTGGAGAGCCTCCAGCACCTTTTTTGGAGTGACAAACCCATACTGAGCTTCCAGCAAAGCCAAGTCCATTTTTTCAGCCCTCAAAATGCCTATGACTTCATCTCGAGCCTGGAAGAACAAACAGCATTTCAGAAACATTGCTTATCTACCCCAGGACTCAGCACATAGTCTCTTGTGATAGTTGGTGGTATTTCTTATTCTCTTTAAAATATAAGTGAACCATATTTGGTTATAGCAACCTTTGGAGAAGGTAACAGAACTGTATTCCTTCATCCTTCTTACACACCACTTATACATTAACAGTATTTTACAAAATGATCACTGTACTACATTGGGGGAATGTTTCATTGGTTTCCAACAGAAGATAAGATAGCCCTCAGAGGACTGTCTTTTGGCCTTTTAAAGGTTAGGAAATAAGATTCTTCTTATGTGTAGCAGCTGTTTTTAGGTTTTTATATAAATAAAATGATTAATAATGATGAAGAGCCAGTTTACATGGGATGCAAAATGCTTATAATTGTTATTTAAACCAATCCAGAAGTCTTCTGGCATGATTATTGAGCTATCCCTGTGAGATAAGGCCCCCAAGCCACATGAGCAGAGGATATGACCTTTCACAGCATTCATGCCAACTATATGTCATAATGACAGCCCTTTTACATGTGATTAATTGTAATGTTTTTTTTTAATTGGTAGAAGAGAAGTCTGTTTGTGTAGTTAATGTTTTGCTTTTGGATATACACAAGTATGAACCACAGCCATTGATTTCTTTAGCAGCAAGTACACCAAATTCATAAGCAGGCTTCCCCTTAGATCGTAGCAGGGATGGCCCCAACCCAGCTGACCTGCAATTCTCCCTCCAGAATGCTGAGGAGAAATAGTAAGTCATCTCTTGAGAGGTCTTCTGCTTGGTGGCCTTTGCCAGTGTGTGACTTCTCTGATGTGGGATGTGGAAGGGCCCCATCTGTCTCTCTCGAAGGGTCTTTGTCCCGCCCTTTGTGCCTCACTTCCTGGAGACTGGGGAATTTGCTGCGTCTTGGGAATTGCTTTGGGGCTGAGCCCTCAGTGTTGCTGCTTCTGGAACGCATTCTTCAAGGACTGGAAGAAGAGAAGACAATTTGTAACTCTTGCTAGAAGTAGAGTTTTATAAGTACCTATTACTGCTCTAACAACTCTACACTCTTGTTATATTTAACTTGATCTTGCTAATATGTACAACAGAGAAGGGTATTACCAGATCCATAAATCACCATCTTATTTACACTTCTCCTTGGAAAATCAACATTTTAAAAGCTTGTTCTGTCCTGATTAAAACCACTTATGTCCATGGGTAAACAGCCCATGTTTGAACTTCATCCACCACACATTCCACCACAAGAACCTAGGTCGTACCTCCAACTGTGGCCGAGTGCTTACTTACACAGAGGCATACTTAACATAATTGTGAAAGGAGGAACTTGCTAATGATTTTTCTTTAGTTTCATATTATTCCCTCTTGAAGTTGTTGGTTGTTTTTATATGTATGTTTTTATCTTGTTAACTTTTTAGCTTTGGCAGCTTTTAAGATGGGAAGGTCAAATGTCTGCTAGAGAATCCTTTAGGTGACTTTGTTATTAAGGCAGAGTTTAGTATTAAAAACATTCAGGCCATTCCTTGACTGTTCCTGACAGTCTACCAAAATTCCAGATGCTTCTCTTTGTGCACTCATCGGTAAAGCAGAGGCACTGGTGCAGAGCAGCTGACTGGAAATGGACCACATGAACTCCATCTCTGAGGATACAGCTGTACAAATTAGTTGACAGCAAGAAAAGCTGTTTCACTTTTAAGGATTCTGACCAGTCTCGAGCTTATAGTAGACTCCAGTAACTTACAGGCAGATACATTTTTCGTTTCGTTTTGTTAAGGCAATGGCTTCACTGTATATATATAGAACTCGTTATGTAGACCAGGCTGTCCTCACTTGTGGTAACCCTCCTGCCTCTGCCTCCTGATGAATACAGGCATATACTACCACATCTAGCTAAGTTTTTCTCTCTATGCTACTCATCATTAAATCACTGGTACTTACTTTCTGTACACAATACCCTTTAAAATCCAAGGCAGGAGACCTGCAAGTATACAGATTAACTCCTGCCATGTACTACCATGCATACTTGTCAAACTTAAGTAAATTACTGTGAATATGAGAGAGAAAATTTTACAAGTAGTGTATGATCGATACAGGTAAACCCCCTGTGTATCTCCTTCAGTGTTTATCCACTTCCCTACCACTCCAGAACTGGCCATTATCTTGAACTTGGTTTGTAACATTCCTATATGTATATATTTATGCTTAAAAAATGTGTGCATGTTACCGAACAACAGATAGTATTGCTTTGCATGTTTTTAAGCTGATGCAAGTAGCATGTTGATGGGTTTCTGAAACTTGCTTTTTTATACTATATTTTTTTAAATTCATCTTTGTTCCTTTTTTCTGTAGTTTATATATTTTGCTTGTCATATAGTGTTTCACTGTGTGAATAGTATACTATTTACTCACCCATTTTTCCCTTGATAGACTTTTAAAATATTTTACTCCTCTCCACCCCCGCAAAACAAACACACACTATTAGGAACATGCCACTCTGAATTTTCTTGTTAGTATTTTTCCTAATTATGTGCATTTTTAAGAAGTATTTTTTAAGGCACAAGAGTGGAATATATGAAGTATGTGTGTCTGAAGTATCACTAGAGATGGTTGCTCCTCTGAATGGAGCATTGTGAAACACCTTTTGAAGCTACCTCAAGACTCATGACAACACTGTGAGGTGGAGAATGGTGTCTTCACTGTGCACTGAAGAAGTGGAAGCACAGAGTGCCTTCTAAGTAGAAGAAATGAAAGCTCATGTGGTCACTGAGCCTACATTCATACAAATGATGCCAAAATGCCAATGTGCTATACTGCTTGAGACAAATACTGACAACCTGTCTTTAAGAACATGCTTGTTGCCTGGCTATAGGGAACACCCAAATTCTAAGTGCAGTATCCACGAAGAGTGATCTGTAGCAATTGTTGTCACTGGCTCTTCCCCAAGTAGTCAGGGACAGGGTCATTTTTTTTTTTTGAGAAAAGCAAAAGTACAGAAAAAGGTGTGTGTGTGTGTGTGTGTGTGTGTGTGTGTGTGTGTGTGTGTGTGTGTGCTCGCGTGTGTGTGGGTAATAACTTATGAATAGCTAATATAATTTTGTTACTTTGTTACTTGAGCTGGCTCCAAATACCTACTCCAGCAATCCTCTGTCTCAGCCTCAGAAGATACTGGGATTAAAGCATACCAGGTAGAAATTACGATGAGTGATAGACATGACTGGAAAAATTCACTACAGATATACTAATTTAATTGTAAATGTGTTCATGCACTAGTATATTATCATATCATGTGCCTTATGAAAATGTATTTAAAAAGGGAAAAGATAAATATAAATTATTTCTAATTATTTTTCTCCAGTCATTGTATTTTCTTGAACACCTCAAGGATGCCCTTGCTCTGTACTATAACAATAGTGGAAAGTTATTACATAGATTAGATATAGTCAAACCAAGTAAATACTGTTCTCAGACTTATATTTGCACATGAAGGACAAGGTCATCTTGTGCCTTTTGCATAATGTTTTTATTTTATCTTATTTTATAATGTATATATTGGGGGGAGTTGCTGAGGATGGTACCAATTAATTTGCTCTACCACTGAGCTATACCCAAAGCCCTGATATAGTTAATTGCAGTTCATGGCTCCTGGGATATACCTTGCCTGATGCTCCAATCTGTTGGATGAGTCTTCAGCAGGGTGATTGATTTGCTTCTTGTACTTTGTGGCCTTCTGTCTCAGGTGTATATTATTGTTCTAAACTATTCTAAAGTTAAGATAGTAGCCACAGTGACTCAAAATTCTGTGTTTCATTCCATAGCTCCATCCATCTTGCATCTCCTTGGGGTATGATTGGTCTAAGATGCAACCTCTCACATGCAGTTAGCTATAGGCTAGTTGGTATCCTGGGGTGTCAGCCAGATTGCCTCATCTCTGGCCCCATCCTCTAGTAGGCTGGACCCAAATTCACTGCTGGTAGTGTCAGGGCAGCACTGCAAAAGTGTGAGAACTGAAACTCACTCAAGCTCTTGACTCATCACAAGGCCAGCCCCAGATGCGGGAGTGGGAGAACAGACTACACCTGTAGATGGAGAGAGATGCAGACTCCAGAAAGGATTGGAGCCATTGGGAAAAGTCCACCACACCTACACAATTAAAAAAAAAATCTAATTTAAAAGTGATAAAATATATTTACTTCTTTAGCTCTATTTTTTTAACGAATGTCTGTGATGTATTCTTATGCCCTTTGATTACATACTTCTATCAGGAACAATTGCTTATAAACAAGAATCACCTGTGTTCTCTTATTAATTGATAAATATTCCTCTTCCCTCATCATATTTCCTAAGGTATGCCTTCCGCCATAGCAAGGTAACATGAGCTCCTTTCTATCAGGGGACTTCCTAGGCACTGCTCATTAGCTGCACCCTTTGTGCGTAGGCTGCCCAGGCTGAAGCAGAGGACGAAAGGGGGCTGGCTCTGTGTATCCTCTGTGTTTGTTTCTCTCCCCTCACTCTTAAGTGGCGGAGCCCATATTTGCTAAGGGAAAGCCAGCTGACAATTTGTAAGTAGAAAAACACACACACAAACACCTCCAAAATTTTAGTAGCGTGTTTGTTGTTCTTTTAAACATGATTATCATTTTTTTGTTTTTGTTTTTCTTTTGAGACGACCAGTTCTGTTTGGGAACTAGTGTGAGTAGCCGTATTAGTGCTCATTAATGAAGCAGTACTCACACTGAGAACAGATCCGACATGTATAGGTAGGTGCCTGGTCTACTGAGTGTATGTCTCTACATGTTTACGGTGGTGGAGTTTCCTTCCCCCATCTGCCAACAACCACAACATGATTAGTAATGAGAAGTAATTATCAAGAGGTAGAAAACAAAGGCATGAATTTCATGATACTCATGCCTTGTATTATCAGTGACTTCATTGTTTCTCTTGGCAATTTTTTAATACAGCTGTGCATGGCCCAGGGATACAATGTGAGGTAAAGAAAAATTTATTTGCAATGGTGGTTTAGATTTTTTAGTACCACTTAGCAAGTGGGGAGGGGAGATGGAGAGAGGGAGGGAGGGAGGGAATGGATAACTGCTTTTTTTCTTTTTTAATAATAAATGCCAAATAATGGTGTCTTTTGCTGCTTTGATAAAGCAGTAGTGGTCCACAACTGACCATCATACGATTGTGCTTTTTGAGTGCATAGACTGAGACTCGGGAAACCTGACTTCCTGTTCCAGTTCTGCCTTTAATTAGGCAGGCCTGACTTACTGCTTTCGTGAGAATTTGGGCCTGTGTTGGCCCTACAAGATCATTCAGGGTGAAACAAGGACCAGGGGTTCTTCCCTTTGACCTCTACTCTGTCTCTTACTCAGTAATGGGTCCCCTGACAGCAAGGCTGGGGCCTGAGACTTGATGAGCTCTGAAGTCTCGGGGCTTCCCGCACTCAAGTTTTGTGATTCTCTGTTGTCTTGTATCTATGGATACAAATACCATGTAGTTGGCAGCGAAAAGTAGATTGTATTTTGTTTTCCTATGTAGTGACCTGGGTCTGTTTTTCTTTGGTTTAAGCTAGTTGAAATCATGGTGGGTTTTGGTAAGAATGTGTCAAACCAAGTGAAGGACTACAGAGAATTTGCAGGGTTTTTTTTTTGCTTTTTGAGTTTTTTTTTTCTTCTTCTTAGTTATAGGAAACAGACAAATATAAATAGTAACTCATTCTATTAACTCTCTTTCCTAATTCGTACACTTTAATCAAGTTCTATCCATAAAGGTAACTTTTTAAAGTATTTTTTATTAATCTTTTATATCAAAATTGTTTATTCTACCTAACTGAGTAGTTATTTAGAAATATGTTTAGTATTAGCATATCATTAATTTTGTATGTGAATTATGAAAGAAATATGAGAATATTTTATTTGTGTAAAGTAACTTGGAAATGGCTCAAAAGAAATCAGTTTGGTTTTTTTTT